TTTTATTGTATTTTTACATATTTTGTTAAATATTTCCCAATTAGGTTTTAATCTGGCTGGGGCTGCAATCGAGAATGTTGGAGCAGCATGGGGTCTCAGGCTAGGCAACGCCTCTGGCCCGAAACAAGGGTCAGCCAACTTCAGCCTCTCCTTTTTGATACTGCTCACAAACTAAGAATGATTTTTGCATTTTAAAATATAATAAAACTTTATTTTAAAATATAAAAATCATTTTTAGCTGACAAGCCATACATAAACATGTGGTGGGCTACTTTTGGCCCTCAACAGTAATCTGCCAACTCCTGGCCTACATTTTTCATATTCTACTTTCTTCACTTTTACAAAATTGGGACATGCTAATATATGACTGAGCTGGGAATTGGTCCAACAACTCTGAAAAGCAATTTGGAATTGGCTAAGAAAGCAAAAATACCCATATCCTCCGACCAAAAGAACTCACACTAGACATATAGGAGAGATCAAAGACAGAAAGAAAGGTACAGTGTACACCAAAATATTTATAGCAATATTCTTTATAACGAAGAGCTGGAAACAAAATGGATGTCCACTGAGTGATACATTATGAGAAGTCTTACATGAATTGTTTCAAAATGAAGTAAGTAGGGGCAGGTAGGTGGCACAATGGATAGAGCATGGGCTCTGGAATCAGGAGGACCTGAGTTCAAATGTGACCTCAAATACTTGACACTTAACTAGTTGTGTGACCCAAGGCGAGTCACTTAACCCCTATTGCCTCACCACCACCACCACCACCACCAACAAAAAAAAACAAAACCCAACAACAACAACAACAAAAAACCAACAAAATGAAGTAAGAAAAACCAGGAAAACTATGCAAGATGACCGCCATCTTGTAAATGGAAAGAAGAATACTGTGTATTTATAAAGACAAGCTTGGCCCCACAGGCTAGCTATAGGACAGCAAAATTAGGCAATGCTTAAGAACTGGGTAATGAGCACTCTCAGAGAAGCCACAAAATGAGGCAGATGCCATGATTAGGTGAGAGCCCAGGGAAGGAAAGAAGATGCCTTCGAGAAGAAGACAGTGCTTGCCCACTAGGAACTGATTCTGCTATATTCCATGTTTTCTTTGGAGCCATCTAGGAAAAGAATTATTATAGACAATTGAAGCCTTGCTTAGGATTTAATAGAGATCACCGATGATGCACGGGTTTCTTATGTTCCCCATCACCCATGATCGTAGATAGAGAGCTAGAAGGAACCTTGGAGGTCAGTCCAGGCCAGTCAAACTGAAATGGAAAACCATACATGAGAATTCCCACAGGCCACCTAATTCTTAGAAAATTAGTATTATCTGTATTCTACTGTGTTTTTATTTATTTATTTTTACTGTGACTTCTTTATTTTTTGTAAGTCTTTTTATTGTACAGTTAAATATAAATGAGAAAGGAAAAAAAATATTGCCATGTACACAGCAGACCACAAGAGAGGATTCGATATAAAATTCAATATAAAGCAATAAGATTCAATACAAAACAATATAAAACATATAAATATAAAACAATAAAATTCAATTTAAAACAATAAATTTCCATTTCAAGGAAACTGTATAATAAATACTACACATTGTTTTCAAAGTTGCCCAGCTTTTCTTTGCTTCCTTGTTGGTTTTCTTTTGTTCTCTGCTGTGTACTTTTTACTTTATTTTTTCCCCTCTCTCCCCCTCCCACCCTAAAGAAAGCCACAATTAATCATGAATATATATACATATACATAGATATCTATAAACATATACATGTATACAGATATACACTCATACATATATATGTAAGACTGTACTATGTTTATTTCCTCCTATCATCTGTTTCTCTGTAGGTGGATGGCATCTTCCTTCATAAGTCCAAGAATCAGAAGTGGGGAACCTGCAGCCTCGAGACTACGTGTGGCCTTCTAGGTCCTCGGGTGTGGCCTTTTGACTGAGTCCAAGTTTTACAGAACAAATCCTTTTATTAAGTGGATTTGTTCTGTGAAGTTTGGATTCAGTCAAAGGGCTGCCCTTGAGGACCTGGAGGGCTACAAGTGGTCTCGAGGCTGCAGGTTCCCCACCCCTGGTCCAAGTTTTTCCATGTTTTTCTAAATCAACCAGCTCATCATTTTCTACACCACGGCAATATTCCTTTCTGGATTCAAACAATATCTTCCTTCATAGGATCTTTTAGTCAAAATGACTTGGTTGCTCAAAGTTGTTCTTAAAACAATACAATGTTCTCTTGGTTTTGCTCATTTCACTTTTCACTATTTCGTGGAGGTCTCTCCATGCTTTTCAAACCATTGAGCTTATCATTTCTTATAGCAGAGTAATATTACATCATGAACATATACCACAATTTGTTTAGCTATTCCCCCATTGATGGATATCCCTGTAATTTCCAGTTCTTTGCCACCACAGAGAGAGCTGCTGTAAGTATTTTAGAACATGTAGGTTCTTCTCCATTTTCTGTAATCATTTTGGAGAAAGACCTAATAGTGGTATTGCTGGGTCAAAGAGTATAAGCAGTTTAATAACTCTTTGGGCATAATTCCAAATCCCTCTCCAAAATGGTTGGATCAGTTCACAGATCCACCAACAATGAATTAAAGTCCCAGTTTTTCCACATCCCCTCCAACATTTGTCAATAAATGTCCACCATTTCTCCTTCTCTCATTTTAGCCAATCTGGTAGGTATAAAATGATATCTCGAGTTGTTTTAATTTGTATTTATCTAATCAGTAATGATTTAGAGCATTTGTTCATATGACTGTAACTTGTTTTGGTTTCTTCATCAGGACACTGCCTGTTCATATCCTTTAACCATTTATCAATTGGGAAATGACTCATTCATATTACAAAGTTCTTTATATATTTGAGATATGAGACCTTTATCAGAGGAGTTCTCTATAAAAATTTTCCTCCAGTTTTCTGTTTTCCTTCTGATCTTGGCTACATTTGTTTTATTTGTACGAAAAGTTTTTAATTTAATATAATCAAAATTATCCACTTTATATCTCACAATACTCTGTCTTTTGTTTGTTCATAAATTGTTTACCTATCCGTAAGTCTGATAGGTGATAAGTTTCAGGTTCTTCAAATTTTCTTGTAATATCTCTCTTTATATCTAAGCCATGTATCCATTTTGACCTTATCTTGGTAAATGATGTAAGATATTGTTCCATGCCCAATTTCTGCCAAACTACTTTCCAGCTTTCCCAACAATTTTTACCAAATAACGAATTCTTATCCCAAAGACTTAAGTTTTTACACTTGTCAAATACTGGGTAATTAGGTTCGTTTGATGCTGTAGATTGTATTTCTACTCTGATCTACTGATCTACTTTTCTTTTTCTTAGCCAGTACCAGATAGTTTTGGTAATTACTGCCTTATAATGTACTTTAACATCTGGTACTGCTAAGCCTCCTTCCTTTGCAATTTTTTTTCAGTTAGTTCCTTTGATATTCTTGACCTTTTGTTCTTCCAAATGAATTATTTTTTTTTCTAGCCCCATATTTTTGGCAATTTAATTGGGATGACACTGAATACATAATTTTGCTAAAATCGTCATTTTTATTATATTGGCCCTACCTACCCATGAACAATTAGTATTTCATCATTTATTTAAATCTGATTTATTTGTGTACAAAGTTTTTTTATGGTTTTGTTCATATAGATCCTGGTTTGTTTGTATTCCCAGGTATTTTATACTGTCTAGGGTTATTTTAAATGGGGTATCTCTAGCTATGTCTTCTTGAAGGATCCTGTTGGTAACATATAGGAATGCTGATGATTTATATGAGTTTACTTTATATCCTGCTACTTTGCTGAAATTATTATTTCAATTAATTTTTAGTTGAGTCTTTAGGATTTTCCAAGTATATCATATCATCTACAAAAAGAGATAATTTCATTACCTCATTCCCTATTCTGATTCCTTCTATTTCTTTTCCTTCTCTTATTGCTATTGCTAGGATTACCAATACAATACTGAATAATGTTGGTGAGAGTGGGAATCTTTGTTTCACACCTGACCTTACTGGGAAGGCTTCTAGTTTATCCCCATTACAAAGAATGTTTGCTAATGGTTTTAGGCAAATGCTTCTTACCAATTTAAGAAAAAGTTCATTTATATCTATACTTTCAAGTGTTTTTAATAGAAATGAGAGTTGTACTTTGTCAAATGCTTTTTCTGCATCTATTGATATCATATGATTTTTGTTACTTTTATTATTGATATAATCTATTATGTTAAGTGTTTTCCTTATGTTAAACCATCTCTGCCTTCCTCGCAGGAATCCATAATGTATGATTTTTGTAATATATTGTTGTAATCTTTTAGCTAGTATTTTATTTAGGATTTTTGCATCCCTATTCATTAATTTTTATTTTGTTTTTACAAGTAAGTCATATTTTCTTTTAGTTTTATTTATTTTGTTAAACATTTCCCAGTTACATTTTAATCTGGTGTTTCAGGCCATACACCCCTGATCCTCCGTATTACAGATGAGAAAACTGAAACACAGAAAGATAAGTGGTTCCCCAACACCACACATTTCTAAGTGGCAGAGCCATGATTTGAGTGTGTTAGATTTAGGACTTAAGACCTGGATTCAAATCCCAGTTCTGCCATTTCCTCCAGTATGTGACCTTGGGTGTAAGTCACAGGCCCTGGGCCTTAGCTTCCTCATCTGTAAAATGGGGGGGAGGGGGTTGGACTGGTGAAACACTAAACCAGTGATCATGTGACCCAGAGAATTCAAGTCCTTGGACTCCCAACTTAGGCTCGTGGGTGCCATGGAGCCCCAGCACTCTTCTGTCCACTCTCACATCTGTTACATAAACAAAGCCCTCATCTTTAGATTCACAATTGTGCTGAAGTTTACATTGCTCGTCTCAAAAAACCTCTCCACATATAAACATCCATGATGGTGTCATGACTGTCACTTCTTATACAAAATGTCCTATTATCTCTTCTCTGTTTTCCAGTGTGATAAATATAAGACCGGAGTCATTGATGGACCTGCATGTAGTAGCCTTTGTGCTAAAGAAACTCTTTATTTTGGAAAATGCTTATCGACTAAACCCAACAACCAGGTATGGACTTTTTGAATAAAAATTCCAGTTGCTAAGTGTTTTGGGTTGGTTTTTTTTTTTTTTTTCCCCCAGCACAGTGCTGGAACTGAAGTCAGAGAGACCTGAGTTCAAATTCAGCCTCACACGTACTAGCTGTGTGACCTTGGGCAAATAGCTTACCTATCTCAGCCTTAGTTTCCTTATTTGTAAAATGAAGAAAATAATAAATAGCACCGACCTACCAGGGTTGTAGTCAAGAGCAAATGTGATAAGATTGGTAAGGTACTTGACACTCTTAAAGGACTACAGAAATTCTAGCTATTATTATTATAATATAAAATTTTAGCTATTATTATTATTATACCAATATTATTTATTATTTTACAAGAAAATACAAATCTGTTTTGGAACAGTAGTGAAGTTTTTGTATTGTCCAATTATAATATACTATACATTATAGTATTATAATAATTACATTACAGTAATACTGACAAGATGAATCTAAAACTAGAGCTAGTCATTGAAATAAAATTAAAATTTTAAACTGCATACAAATTATTTAGGGTGATCTGTCTTCTGCCAAATATACAGTCTAACCTGTCCCAGTCCAGGAACTTCCAGAATAACCACTGTGCTCCTAGGTAGAATAGAGAAGAAGGCTCCTTATAGATTCTATTTTTCCAATAGTAGAGAAGTTCAGATTAATAGAGAATTTTTAAAATATTGCCTATCTGCTAAGGCACAGGACATGTCCTGGGCACTGTGGATAGAAAAATGACTGGGGTTGCCCTCAAGGAGCTCATATCACCTTGGGTTAGGGAGTGAAAGGAAAGAAAAGACAAGTATTCAAATAACTCTATAGTGTAAGATCAGAGGGGATCAGTGCAATTAGAGAGAGAAGTAGCAGTGCTACTGGCATCCCAAAGGAGAAGGCCATCTACTCAGGGAAGGCTTCATAAAAGAAATGGCACTTAATTGACTTCTTGAAGGCTGGAAAGACATGTTCTGAAAGACAAAATTTTTTGTTAAATATTCTCAACCCAGAGAACAGCATGGGACCAGGACAGTATTGGGCATGTTTGGAAAAGAACGAGGAATGATGTCTGGCTGGAGCGTCATGTGGAAAGTCATGGTGGAGAAGCTGGAATGTCTTGTTTTGGCCACAATGGGGAGAGGCCTGACTGCCAAGCTGAGAAATTCGGACTTTATTCTTGTAGATAGTATAATGTTTGAATACTTATAGCTTGTGGTAATTTAAAGTTTAACAGCCTTGAGAAAGGTAAAAATGAAAAAAAAGAATTTGTGGTGGTTACCACTGTAGTCAGGACAGCTAGGTGGCCCAGTGGATAAAGCACGGGGCGTGGAACCAAGAAGACCTGAGTTCAAATCAGACCTCAGTCACTTACTAGCTGTGTGACCCTGGGCAAGTCACTTAACCCTGCTTGCCTCAGTTTCCTCATCTATAAAATGAGCTGGAGAAGGAAATGGCAAACCACTTCAGTATCTCTAGTCAAGAAAACCCCAAATGGGGTCACAAAGAGTTAGATACAACCGAAACGACTCAACAAAAACAAACCACTGTAGTCATAAAAGAAGCATTAATAAATATGTCTTAGCCTAAAAAATCTTAATGCATTTTATTTAATATTCTCAAATGAGTTATTTTTTAAAACATTTTCAGAGCACCTTATCTGTAGCAAAATGGACAAAATCAAGTTCTGGTGATCTGATTACTTGCTCCTCCCCTGTTTAAATGTGGCATACTACATTTTCATTTATGTTGATTTAAGAGAATGGAAAACAAACCAAATGTGTTTAACATAGACACATACACTTATAAACACACAAAATATGTTTGAATTTTAAACTTATTCTACTTGTTTCTGTAAAAAGGAACAACTTCTTATGCTGACAGTATTAAATACTGGAAAATCTTAATGCTCCCTATCCCAATAAGTCCTTTCCAACAGCTCAAAATAATATAAATGACCTATATTAAAAACTTTAAATTACTTCTGAAATTCATGTTTCACTTCCTTTTCATTAATGCATCCATCAGATTGAATCATTTGTTTGACTTTCTCAGCTTCCATTGCTCATGAAGCAATATTACTATCTTGGGTTTTTTTTTCTTGTTTTTAGTAGTAATAGATTCAGAAATTTGGTAATGGGCACTTAATCGATTTATTCATTTGTGTGTATACAAATGCATGATGGATTTTAGACTCTACTTAAAGACTCCACTTCATAATAATAAATGGCTATTTTTACAACGCAACTTTATGCAAGTATGGGTCGTACTAAATCATCTCAGAGATACCTGAGGTTTCAAATTCTGTGATTGACACCATGTTCCATTGCCTACATATGCTTGAGTGGGGCTAAGAAATTGACATAAGCTTCCCAATATGGCTGGTTAGCAATTCCCTTGTTAATGGTCTTTCCTGTAGGGTGGAGGACTGAAAGGTAGTCACCGAGTTAGAAGTGAAGGCCTTCTTTCCAGTAAACATCTCATGGGAGCAGGTAATATTGTCTAGGGCAGGATTTTAGGTATTTTTATTCTTCATTGCTAGGGAAAAAATTAGGCCAACATCACATGAAAAACACTACATCAAGCACTAGAAAATGGAAGAATAAAAAAGAATGCTGTCAGCCAGTCTTCTAGAGCTCTTTAGAAACTCAGGAAATGGTCTTCAGGTCTAAGCTGCAGCCCTGGTGCCAAGAGGGTGATGAGAGATTCTGGGCATAGATAGGGTGGTCTGCAGACAAGGGCCACACAGCCGAGGTCTAGAGACCAGCCACCGGCCCTCTAGAAATAGACCTCTGGGGAGTTTTGCAGCCATCCCCAATCTCTGCCCCCAAAATATTGTTTTATAAGTAAAAATTCGCAGCTCAGGTCAAACAACTGTTAGTAGAGAAAGGACAAAAAAAAATAGTGATAGTATTTTCAGAGTATTATGATCATGTGTGAGCCCCAAAAGACCACCCAGCTTTCCATGTTTTTCGCGTAGATGTACTTAGGAGTTTGGGGAAATCTGCAGGGTGTTGTGAAGTGTCAGATGGAACAAACCCCTCGCCTTGATTTCGGAACCGAGTTGGAACCAAGGAAAGAAGTGATCTTATTTGAGAAGCCTACTCGGGGAACCACAGTCCAGAAATTCAAAGAAATGGTGTACAGCCTCTTTAAAGTAAGTATGACATTCGTCCAATCTCTCTTCCCTGGGGCTGTATTTAGTGAGAGACTTCCTAGATGTTTTTTCCTAAATTTCTAGGATACTTTTTCAGACTCTTTCATGTGCTGGAATGACCAGGCATCTTTACAATTAGACCTGGAAAGAACCCTAACCTCCATCAGCAGAGCAAGAATCCCAAGAAATGTGGCTCAAATGATCCTCGCCCCTGGCCAATATGGCTTGGCCTAACCCTTCAGTTTTATAGAAGCTTTAATTTATTCGAGCTGAATTCATCCAGTCTAGTATTTAAGCAAGGTGTTGACCCCCAGTGATACATGTTTAAGGTAAAAGATATGGAACTTACTTGGGGCAAATGAGTAAAATGCTGGCTCTGATATCCAGTGTATACATGGTACCCAAGACAAGTTTGCACACAAGATATTTTCCTAGACTAAGTAACAGCTTTTTGGTTTGGTTTGGTTTGGTTTTTTTGCTTTCGGTAATTTTACTGCCCAAGGAGGGGGAGCATAGAGAAGCCAGGATTTTGGTCAGCTTTATTAAATGTTTCATTTTTATTTGCAAGGCTTTGCAAATTAGCTACCTCGAACTACATAAAATACATGCCAATAAAGCATTATAAATACCAAAGGTTTAGCGTTTGAGGTTCTTATACTTTAAGGATCTGTAATGTTCTCAGGGTGGGTAAATTTTGCACCGCTATGTATCAATGTGCCAGCGAGGTAAATGGCAGAGCCAGTAGGACCAGGAGACCTCACTCACTAGCTGGGTGACCCTAGCCAATGCACTTAACCTGGGTCACCCTCCATATCCTCATGTCTAAATGAGAGGATTGGACGCGATGACCTCTAAGGTCCTTTTCTGCTCTCAGTCTAAGATCTTATGCCCTAGGACATAGTATCCAAGATTTGCTGTCGCCAAAATGAGTCACCTCCTGGTGGCCAAACTTCGTGACCAGTGGAGGTTCCTGTATTGAAACAAAATTAAAGGTAACACTGTTTCAGCGCAGTATTAAAGTACGCCTAATATGGCTTGAACACCAAAATTTAGTGCTTCCCAACATATATTACTGGTTAGACATTATTTTATATATTTAGAAATTAGCCTCTGAGTACTGAAATGAGACAACTAGCAACGTGAAACGCTGGCAGAACAGTGAACTTTCATGGTAAAAACAGCATGAAATGTTTAGAAGACAAAGAACAAGTATGACTTTTAACATCTACTTCTACCTGGAGATAAGCTTTGAGCTTAAACGCTGCCCCTGTGGTCTCTATCAGTGAGTGCCTTATAGTCCTACTAAAACTGGGGGTGGGGGTGGAATGCAGGGGATAGGCGTTAGCCATCATGCGGATCATATTGGTTCTGTTGGCCCTAACAGTGGGAGATGGGGATGGTGCTCAGTTCAGAACTGGCTTCTCAATAGAGAAAGGAGCAAGCATTTATTAAACTCTACCGTATGCCAGGTACCATGCTTAGTGCTTTACAAATATGCTTAGGGGGCAGCTAGGTGGCGCAGTGGACAGAGTACCGGCCTTGAAGTCAGGAGGACCCGAGTTCAAATCCGGCCTTAGACCAAACACTTGATACTTACTAGCTGTGTGACCCTGGGCAAGTCACTTAACCCCAGTTGCCTTTAAAAAAAAAAATACAAATATGCTGAGTAAACATGAAAAGCTAGAGGAAACAGCTGAAAGATAGGAGAAAGTAAAAAGAAAAAATTTGAGGAATGACCTCTTTACAAAGACGATAACCAAGTTCTTCAAGCCCATCCCTTACCTTCTACCCATCCAAGCAAAAAATGTCAAAAGCAACATTTGGAGGAAGTCCGAGGGAGGGCTAGAACAGTGATGAACACATGGCATCTCTACTTGTGTAGAACACTAAGGCCATTACACAGCAAGTAGCAAAACTGTTTCCCTTGGCTCAAGAACAGAAGTATCTCAGATGTTTTAAAACTCGGTTGATGTGTTTGTGGGTGTGGGTGTGTGTCTTAGTGATTTTAATGATGATTGCTTTTAAACATGGTTAATTATTCTTGTCATTGCCAGGCAAAGTTGGGTGACCAAGGGAATCTTTCGGAGTTGGTCAACCTCATCCTCTCGGTGGCTGATGGAAACAAAGACGGCCGAGTTTCCTTGCCTGAAGCCAAGTCTGCATGGGCCCTTCTTCAGCTCAACGAGTTCGTGCTCATGGTCATCCTTCAGGACAAAGAGCACACGCCCAAACTGATGGGCTTTTGTGGAGACCTTTACATGATGGAAAGAGTGGACTACACCTCTCTTTATGGAATAAGCCTTCCCTGGGTGATGGAACTTCTCATTCCCTCTGGTTTCAGGAGAACCATGGATCAGTTGTTCACACCCTCATGGCCTCGGAAGGCCAAAATAGCCATAGGACTTCTGGAATTCGTAGAAGACGTTTTTCATGGTCCCTACGGAAATTTCCTCATGTGTGACATGAGTGCCAAAAACTTGGGATATAACGATAAATATGATTTGAAAATGGTGGACATGAGAAAAATCGTGCCAGAAAGGAATCTCAAAGAGCTAATTAAAGATCGTCACTGTGAATCTGACCTGGACTGCGTCTACGGTGCGGATTGTAGAACTAGCTGTGACCAGAGCAGAATGAAGTGCTCTTCAGAAGTGATCCAGCCCAACCTGGCCAAGGCTTGCAGCTTGCTCAAAGACTACCTGCTGCGCGGGGCGCCCTCCGAGATCCGGGAAGAGCTGGAGAAGCAGCTCCAGTCCTGCGTCGCCCTCACGGTCACTGCAAACCAGATGGAAATGGAGCACTCTTTGATATTAAATAACCTAAAGACATTACTGTGGAAGAAAATCTCTCATACAAATGATTCCTAGTTAATCCGTCAGACGTGGGAAACTTGCCACTTTAAGTCATCCTGACCATTAAAAATGAGCACGGCCCATCAACGTCCCTTTCCAACCCCTTCCCAGAAACTCCACCTCCTATGCCCAGTCCCCTCTGGCTCCTTAATCAAGTCGTGGTGGGGCCAGAGTCCGTGCCCTCCAAGCCACTGTTCAGCAGGAGATGGGGGTCTTTTACTTGTACAGTTTACAAAGAGCTTTTACATAAATTCCCACTAAATTCTTCCAACAATCCTGTGAGGGATGCAGGGCAGGATGATTCCCATTTCTTGGCTCAGGAAACTGAGGCTGAGCACCGCTAGTAAGCGGCAGCCAGGACTCTTGCTCCCGGCTTGAGCTTCAGCTCCCAGGCCCTTCATGGTACCAGAAAAACGAGGACTCTGTGTATTTCATCCAGTCAGAGCGATGTGAATACAAGAACCTCTGGTCCATTTCTCAAAGGCACCTAGTTGTTCTTCACTCCTAATGCTGTGAAAATCCTCATTTACATGTGAATACTCATGTTAATGAAAATGGTTTTTGCAAGTAATTTTTTGTTAGCCAAGAGGCCACTGCTGGAAACATTGTGGCCAAATCCAAGCTGCTGTTTTAAAAATTAATTTAACTTTCACATAGTTTACTAATATTTCAGCATGGCAGAATTTGCACATTAATGGGAAATTTAAATTGCTAAGCAAATAAATTAAATTCCTCTTTGGCATAAACAGGTAGTGGGGCTTACCTTCAGTTTATTTACGTTCTTACCTCATTTATTCAGATCTTGAATGCTCTATCTAGTAAATTATGGATGTTTCCTCAAATAGTTCAAACAGAACCCTGGAGGAACTGGAAATTTCCTAAAAACTCAAGTGACCAATACACAATTGCTGTCATTAGTCTATTTTCCACATCAGTCATTAAATTATAAAGCATTAGAAATGAAATATTTAAAAGGGCACAAGTTAAGACCATGTCTTAAAATCAGGCTCTCCCACAATAATTCTAAAAGGCAGAGACTAAGGTCTCTTTTCCTCAACAAGCCCTGGGCATTCAGTATTTACAGTGATATGTCTCCAAACCAGGTACAAGCAGAGTATCCACAGGGGAGTTAAGTTGTCATATTTGATCTACAGTAGGAAAAAAAAAAAAGGCCAACTGATCTGTTCAAACATTTTTAAAAGGTACTGAACCAGTTTTCTTGTTTTTGAAGTGTGGTAGACATGAATTAATCATGGAATCTTAATGGAAGGACCTCTAAATTATCAATGAAAAAACACTAAGGTACAAAATGTCTCCAAATGGCATCCCCTTGGGTCAGTGGGCATGCACGTTGAGAAAGCCAATAGCCTTTCCATATACGCTCAGGACAAAGGGTTAGCAGCAAAGTGGATTCCGAGTGCATTTGACCTGTATATACTTTGTTCTGGCATGTCATTTCAAACTTTGCACACAATGACAATCTTTTTTGATGTCTCCATAAAGTAAAACGGCCTACTTTTGGAGGAAGAGCCAATGTTTGCTGCTGGAAAAGATTCCAACTGGAATTGCTTGTGTCCTCCAGCTGTGTCTAACGTACATGGTGTAACTGGGCGGTGGACTTTACTGATCATGGCGTTGTTATCACAATACATTTTTTTGAGTTACAGTTGTACAGTTTAAGGTCCTTTTCCTTTCCACTAAGCATCTGGTTTCAATAAATGGCTGGAAGAATATTTCCTAGTCGTAGCATTTCCTTGGTCCGCCTGTCACAGCCAAAAGGTAATCTTAAATTATTCTACCGATGGCTGGCTATGCAGCACACTTATACCTTGTTCCATTATCTATGCCCAAAGCCAGAACAGGCTATCAGGTCACTGTAGTAGCATTAGGGACAAGTTGTAAATAAGCATCATAGAGAAGCAGGTGTCAGTCCCATATTGCTGCAGTCAAGCTCAACTAAGACAATACCTTCAGAAAATAAGCATGATATCACCACCACTGCCAGCATCTTGGAAAAAAAGAACCACTGCTCCATCCTCCTGGCTAATATTTTATAAAGCTCCATTAAGAACAGACACGGGTGATGGTCAATAAGTTTATTGTCTTAATCTGAAAATCTTCATAGAAAATTACAGATTTTGATGTTTTAACTATCAGCTGCCCGTTCCTGGGCTCTGAGGAAACTCGCCTTCTTCTGAGCAACCCGGTCTTTCTTCTGGGCAAGGGACATTTTGGGGCGGTTCCATCTACCAAGCAAAAAAGGCAGAGATCAAAACTCACAAATGCAAACCAGAAAGACCCATGAAATAGTCCACGCTACTGTCAGTCCCAAAACAGCTGCTTTTCCCGCCAGTGCCTATCACTCCAACCTCACTTACTTCTCAGCCAGCACCATTTGCCTTTCTTTACTCCAGATCTACACATGGGTCCATTACAAATGTGTTTCCTGAGCACATGTGGAGCCCTCACTTGGCATTTCTTTTATTCCTTTCTGTATCACCTGCTATCATTCACCCCAGGACCTTCTCTTCCCAAACACATCACACCTCCATCAGCAGGTGACCCTGACTGCCTCTCAGGCTGTTAAGGTTCTTGCTTTTGGAGTCTTGCTCTTTCAAGCATTTCCCACTTTCATTTCTGACCTATGATGTCTCCTCTTCCTCCTCATCTCATTACCAAACCTGTACAAAGGACAACTAAGGTGGTCACTGCCTCCACTTCCTCACTAGGTACCCTCTTAACCCCTTGCAATCTGACTGAAACGACCAAGCCATGTCACAAATGCCTCCTTATCCCCAAATCCATTATATTTCTCAGTTCTCATTCCCTAGATTCTCTGACACTACGTACACTCCACTGGGTTCCAAACAAATTCTCACAGTGTCGTTCTCCCCTTCCTATACGTACCTTCCCCCATCCTAACCCACGGCATCAATGTCACACCAAATCAGTTTGCAGCCCAGAGCACCCGTGCTGGTCATCTCCAAATACCCTCAAGTCTGCAATTCAAACTTAACCAATTCTGACACTGAAGTCCTTTCTGTCGATGACATCACTACCCTTACCCCTCGGGAATCAATCAGTGCATAATCTGCTTCCCCTCTCCCCACCATATCCAAGTCCTTTCTTTCACCCCAGGCAATCTCAAATCTTCACTCTCCCTTTCACTCCCACCAACCCGGCCCCTTGGTGCCAGCCATCTTTGTGGGCTCCAAGACACTCCTATTTCAAACCCATCCCCCTGCTGCTGATCCTTTTGGCTCCCCTTCACACACACAGTCCATATTTCAGCCAAACACGACTCCCACAATGCCACCCCATGCCACTCTACCCTTTCCCATTCTTTGTACCCTTCCCTGTGCATGCTGTGCCACCCCAACCAGCTACCAAGGTCCCCTCCTTTCCCTCAAGGTCTGGCTCAGGTGTCATCTACGCTAAAGTCATTCCTGACACTCCCAGATTTTCCTATTCTCTCCCTTCCCCCATGTCACTTGGGAGGTGACTGTATTACAGATGTACAATTACATGTGTGTGCCTCTTCCATATGGTTTAAGTTCTTAACTACTGAACTGAACCATAAGGTGACAACCAATAACCCTAAGTGCTCAGTTACACAAGAACTTTCAAGAGAAAAGTAACACCCCGTTATCTTGTCTTAGGATAGAATGAGGTGCCTCAAAAACGTCAATTCCGAGGCAAATAAGCTTCTATCACCACAATTACTTTAGCAAACCTGGTTCCCCTTGCTTCTGCAATGTCGTGCAGAGCCAGTGATCGAGTTTGCAAATTCACACACTCAGGTAGAAAAGACAATCTGTAGTAGAAGCCAGCTGTTTTTCTGCAGAGTGCATTTTCAAACCATTGCATCCGTACAAATGGCAGCAAGAAGGCTACTTACCTTTTCTTTTTAACTTCCCTCTTGGGCTTCTTTTCATACACTGGATTCTCCCGAATACCAGCATGGGCTTTCTTATACATCTCCTCCATCTGAAATAAAGAAAGACAAACAGTTTTTGGTCCCCCTCCAAATGCCCCAGCCAAACCTTATGCATCACTAAATGGCAGGAAGATTACCACTGCACCCAACAAAAGCCACTCACCAACACATCACTGATGTTTAAAGGGAAAACAACTGGAGATACAGATCACATCTGCTCAAGGGCCACGATTATCTACTTAATCCTTACACTCACAGAAAACAAGAATCCAATTTGTAATTGGTGCTAGAGTTTTCAATGTATTCATTTTTTCCTTTCAGTTCAAACCTGGTTTGTGCTATGTACACATAAAGGTTTGAATGCTCCTTGTGAGGAGGGAAATCTGTTTTGTCTTTAGAGCCTCAGAAAAATAGCTTTTCCTTTCAATGTCTCAACTTCTTTCAAAGACACTTTATCTTGGGACAATCTATTATATACAATTTCTGCAAAGATTTTTCAAGAGTAGTTAAAAACTCAAGGGTCCTTCTTCAAATATAGTAGAATTCACAAGTAAAAAAATATTTCCAGACTGGGTAACAGCTTTAGTTCCTGGTCAATTATTTCAGCTATACTTTCTAAATAAACATCAAGCAAGCGTTTATTAAACACCTCCAAGCCAGGAACCAGGCTATGCACCAAGGATATAAAGACAGAACAGAAACATTCCTTCCCCTCAAAGATGCTAACTTGTCTGTGCACACAAGGATTTATACAAAATACAAACCAGGTACAAGGGACCAAGAAGGCTTCCTGCAGATAGGAAGCTTGGGGTAATCCAGGTACTGCAGGAGGCCAGACTTTCCAAGCGTAAGAGGATAACCAATAAACTGGATTCTTTATGAGCAGCCACTAGATTTTAGGGTAATTAAACAATTCCATCCTAACTCAACAAATGATCTTACCACACGAATAGCCTTTAAAGCTACTTTAACACAGGGAATTTTCAAGATAAAAGTAACACCCAGTAATTTTGTCTTAGGATAGAATGAGGTGCCTCAAAAACGTCAATTCCGAGGCAAATAAGCTTCTATCACCACAATTATTTTAGCAAACCTGGTTCCCCTTGCTTCTGCAATGTCGTGCAGAGCCAGTGATCGAGTTTGCAGATTCACACCAAGAACTCAGCTTTCACTCTGGTAGAAAAGACAATCTGTAGCAGAAGCCAGCTGTTTTTTGGGTTTTTTTGCAAAGTGCAGCATTTTTAAAGCATTGCATTTGTACACTGGCCTACTTTAATACTGCCCAGACTTGAACACTAATAGTGTTAAATAGTATCACAATTTAGAGGAATTATGAGTACGTTCGTTCTCGCCATACCATAATCAAACGCTCCTTGTTTGTGCCCCTACCAATTACCTATGGGTGAAAGGGAGGTACGTGGACCTTTTCATTAAGGGGTTATATTAAAACTAAAGCATTTGAACATTCATAGTTTGTGGCTGATAAGCAAAGAGCTCACACTGACAACAAACTAGTGAGGTATACGGTGAAATTATCACCCCCATTTTATGGATGAAGACCCTGAGGCACAGGAGAGCCACATTCGCTCCCACCCCCACGGCCAGACTGCCAGCAATCTTTAAAGCCAGGTTCCTGATTAAGTCCGGGTTATCCCACTACTCCACCTTGCTCATTCATTAAAATTTTTATGAGTAAAACTTTAGGGTCACATTGTTTCTTTTAAAAAGACCAAGTGCCTCCTTTAAAAAGTAAGGCCTCAATCATGGCATAGCATGGGCAGGGACAGGGCCAAAAAGCCTATTTTGTGACTGGGAGGGAACTTCTATCACCAAACTTGTGTTTGGCTGATTCTGCAACATTATGTCCAAGTCTACAAATCTGCTATTTACTCAGCAAAGAAACCCTTCAGAAACTTTTGGAAAATAGCCTGGACTACACAGATCACAAAGACACCCAAGACTGAGGCTATCAAAGGTCTGGTGTAAGCTATTTTTACATGTCAGTGGTAAAAGTATTTTATTTTACTGAAACAAGAGCAGGCAATTACTTATCCTGCCCTTCTCCTACCTACTAAATCATAAACCACCTAGCCTGGTAGGCACCAGGATGCGAGACACTACAATGATTTATCAGATGAGGGGCTTTTTTTTCTCCTTTTCTATCCTGAGAATGATCAGGACCAACACACACACTAAAAAAAAAAAAATTCAACTAAGTTGAAAATGTATATCAAACAAGCTAAGCTTTCCTTTGATCTCAAGTTTTGCCTTTGAATGAAAAAAAAAATCTACCTGGTACTACTCAAAAATCCCTCCTTCCTTACCTAACTTCAGGTATTCAGCTTTAACCACTACCCAAGGTTGGCACCCCCCCAAGGCATCTAGGAAATTGTGGCTGGCTCCCCATCTTGGGATTCTGGAGGCTGAGGTCTCAGGTGGCAGCAGCCAAGGGGGGCCCCATTTCCTCTCTGGGAGTTTTGGACCTCTCCCCTTGCCCAGGGAATTGCACCTAAATATTCAAATGACTAAAGGAAGTCACAGGAGGCCCCTGTGAAAGACCTCCCGACAAACATCTTAGCACAATTCCCTCATTCATAAGAGGACTCAGTACCACAAACACCAGGATCTCCACATGAAGTAGGAGAAAAAGCTATACCAGAGGCAAACTACAACCCAGTAAAGCTTTCACTCTACCAAGTTATTTGGGTGCTGGGGAAGAGACCATTTAATCCACCACACATTAGAACTATCTGTAGTAGAGAGTAGAGTTCTATCTCCTTCCACTTTCCTCTTTAA